GACGACGGCGACAACGACGACAACGACGACAACGAGGGAGGAGGGAGGACGGCGACGACGCGAACGACGAAGAAGGAGGAAGGACGGCGACGCCGACGACGGCAACGACGAGGGAGGAGGGAAGACGACGACGAGACGACGACGACGAAATAGGAGGGACGACGACGAGACGCCGACGACGGACGACGACGACGACGACGAGGGAGGAGGAGGAAGGACGACCACGGCGACAACGACGATGGAAACGACCGCGACGCCAAAGAGGACGACGACGACGAACACGAGGAAAGACAGAGGACGACGTAGGCGACGACGACGACGACGATGCGGGAGGAGGGAGGACGGCGACGACGACGACGACGCAAGAGCGCGCGCCCACGCTTTCGTTGAACATCCGTGTTGCGAAACCTTGTGTTTTTGTCTGTTTTTTTGGACACGCGATTTTGAAATCCTTCCGAAACCGATGGGTTTTGCACGCGGCGCATGCGGCGCCCACGAGCGCCCGCGAGGCGGCAAGGGCAGCAACGTGGCGCAACCTCGGCAAGTCCACCCAGAGCCCAGGGCGCCAGCGAGGCGGCTCGGGGGCGGCAACGTTGCAAATGCTGGGCGAACCCGTCCAGCTGCTGAAGGCACAGAGTGCCAATGTTGCTGGGAGAACAATGCCCTGGGTCGCCCCTCCGGTCTTCTGCCTCGCCGAACAGCGGCTCCTCGCTCCTGGACCTGGCCCCGGAGGCTCCGGCGCTTTGCCACGAGCACTGCCCGCCAGAGCTGCTCGGCGGGGCCCGCGAGCTATTGGCCGAGATCGTCGGCGATGCGGAGGCTCGAAGGACAAAAAGACGTTAAAATAGAGAAAACATTGACTTTCAAAGGTCGGAGCGGATTTCTCGGATCGGCGCTGGGTCCTCCTGGCGCCTCTGGCGCCGCCCCTTGCTCGCTCCGCGCGCCAGGGAGGGGGGGCCCAGCGCCGATACGAGACATGCGCGCGGACCTCAGGAATTGATGTCCGTGGTGTTTCGTGTTCCTCCGTCTGGAGGCGGAGGTGGAGTTCGAGGACGACGCCAGCTGGGAGAGGTTCCCGGAGGTGGGCAGGGCCTTCCAGCGCGCTGGGGGCAGCGTGGTCAGTCTGCAGGTGGCCCAGAGCAGGGCTTGCGGCGCGTGGGCGGTGGGCGTGGCCGGCAAGTGGCAGCGCCGGCTGCCCGCCGCGAGGCTGTCGGCTACGCGTAAGTCGGCGGCGAGCCCAGTAGGGAAGTACGAAGAAGAAGAAGGCCTTCTCAGAAGGCTCGGAAGTCCCCTGGCCTTGTGAGAAGATTTCTAAGCCTTCTCCGAAGACGCAGAGGGCTTATCAGATCACGCTGCGGCTCCCTTCCTCCTTCTCCTTCACCTCCTCCTTCTCCTCCACCTCCTCCTCCTCCTTCTCCTCCTCCTCCTCCCCCTCCTCCTCCTCCTCCACCTCCTCCTCAGAAGGCGCGAGGGCGTCTGAGAGATCCCGCCGCCCTCCGAGAAGGCCTTCTCCCTCTCACTGCTCCCCTCGCTCGCCGCCGTGGAAGAGTGAGCTTTCGCTGGAGTGACCGTTGGTGCGGGCATGTGCGGGCCCACGGGGGTCCCTCCGGCACTGGCGGACGCGCTTGGGATTTTTCGCCGAGCGCGTTCCACTACTCGCAAAGTTCAGCCACGCGCAGAGGGGGGTGGGGGGAGGGGGGAGGGCTTCTTAGAAGCACCCCGGCTTCTTAGAAGGCGCGGGCCTTATCTGTAGATGTAAGGCCGGCGCCTTCTGAGAAGCAGCCTCCTTCTAAGAAGCCCCCCCCCCTCCCTCCACCCCCTTGTGCGCGCCGCCAAAAAGTGCCTACTCGCAAACGTCCGAAGAGCACATGTCTGCTTTGATGTGATGTGTCGTAGATCCCCCGCGGGAGGATCCGGGCCATTTGCGAGTAGTTACTTTGCGAATAGTGGAACGCGTTCGTCGACTTGTTTCCCCTCCCCCCCGCGGCCGACCCCGCCGCGGGCGTTCAACCTTGAACGCCGGCGGCGGCCCAGAATCGGTCGGTGTCGAACGATCGGACGCGTTTGGGAAACGGTCGATCGCTCAAGGTGGAACGACCCCCACGGTGGCAGGAGCCCCACGCCAGGGTCGGCACGACGCGAATTTGGCGCGGGCGTCGCGCAGCGGGGGGGCCGATAGTTGAATGCGAGAGCCGCGAGGGCTGCAGAACCGGCGCCCTGCATGTCGGGCCCCACACAAGGGCCCTCCAGGGGTAAGTCGGGCCTGTCCCTCTACAGGAGGATAGTCAAAAATAGTTAAAAAATAGTATGGGGACTATTTTTGGAGTATTTTTGGGGCATCTTTCGGGTATTTTTTTTGTATTTTTAATTTTTCGTCCAAAATCCCTCTGTAGGGGGACAGGCCCGACCTGACTCTAGGATCCGAGAAATGCTTCTTTCTTCCCCCCATCCTCAAGGAAGGAAAGACCCCCCGGACCCGACAACTGGCGCTTGCTGAACGGCCCTGGGCGTTTATTCAACAACAGCCCTGCCCTGTTCGCTGACTTCTATGGGCGCGTTCACTGAACGGCTTCGCGTGTCGAGTTGATCACTACGAGGCTGGATTTTCTGCCCTCTAAATTTGAGTCGGGCCTGTCCCTCTACAGGAGGAGTATTCAAAGATAGTCAAAACATAGCCTGGGGACGATTTTTTGACTATTTCTGACCATTCTGGAGCATTTTGGACTGTTTTTATTTCTCGTCCAGGATCCGCCTGTAGGAGGACATGCCCGACCCAACTCTAAATTCCTCCCCCCCCAGAGAAGCGACGCCCGAGTCTGCCGCAGGCTCCCTCTTGCGTGCAGCCGAGGCTGGCGCTCGCGCTGGCGGTGGCCCTCCGGGAGGGCGGCGGGGCCGCCGCGCGGCTGCGCGGCCGCTGGCCCGGCTTCGAGGAGCTGTGCCAGGCCGCGGGCTCTGCGAGGGGGCACGGCGCTCTCGCCGGCCGCCCCGCGGCCGCCGCGCGCCGCGTGCCGAAGAGGGCGAGCTCGGCGGCAAAGCACTGGGAGCCTCGGGTTGAGGGGTCGGAGGTGGAGAGACCTCCTACCCTCGGGGGCGGAAAAGAGGGGTGTGATGCCTAGGGGGGGGGATATCACGGCGTGGGCCATGATATCTCCCCATATTTCACGGCGCCTCTTCTTGTTTCATTACGTCCCTGGCCCCCTCGCTGGGCCGCGCACATGCCGCCGGTCATGATTTGCACCCCCCCCTCTTGGACGCCCCCCTCTTGGCCGCTCCCACCCTGACGCGTCGATTCAGGAATTGGCCGTTCTCGGTGCGCGGGAGGGCGTCGCGGCCGTCCTGTTTGCGGGTCTCCAGGTCCGTCGGTTTCGGTCCCAGGCCGTTTTCACTGAGGGGAGGTTTACTGACGGGAGGTTTGTCCACCGCCGAAGGGGTCGGGAGACTCTCCATGGGATCCCCAGGGGATCCTATGGGATCCCCCCCTGGGATCCTATCCCCCCATGGGATCCCCCCCCATGAAGAGTCTCCCGAAGGGGGGGCAAACCACCGAGACAAACCACCAGACGCACCCAAAAAGAAGAAAAATCGAGCAGGGCAGGGCCGTTCGGTGAGCGCCGAGTATCGGGATTCGGTGGGTTTCCCCCCCCTTGATGCAAGGCTCCCATGATCGGGCGACGAGATCTATGCATATCCACTGCTCCCTGGCCAGGCCCATCCTGAACCCAGGAGCTGTGTATATGCCTCCCTGGCCAGGCCAGGAGGGCGTGGCGTATACATCGCTGCGGGGTTGAGGATGTGCCTGGCCAGGGAGCAGTGGATATGCATAGATCTCGTCGCCCTATATGGTGTAGGGGAACGAAGAATGACATAAACATACAAACTCGGAGGTCCGCGCGGATTTCTCATCAAGGGGAGCCTTGCATCAAGGGGGGACAAACCACCGGGACCCGTGGGCGTTTTTTTTGCGCGGCTCTGCCCTGTTCGCTTCCTTCATTGGGTGCGTTTAGCTCGTCGGCGTGGTTATCCTGGGGGTGGATTGTTTGCCCTCGATTGTACGTTCTCGGGATTCCGTCTTTGCAGTGCACTGGCGCGCGCGAGCGTCTGCGAATCGAGGAGGAAGCGCCGACTCAGCGTCGATTCAGCTTCGAGGTTATAGACAACAACATGCCGAAACGAGCCTCCCTCGCCCACGAATTTGAAGGCTGGTGGGGGAGCAGTGGGCCCGTCGCAAGAGTGGGCGTTCAATTTCGCAACACTGCGCGCTCCCTTCCCGCGCGGTCGTCCGCCACCGTTCAGGTGCGGGGTGTCGGGGGGGCCTCTCGGCACTTCTGCTTGTGGGCGTTCATTTCGCAAACGGCGGTTAGCGTCGATTCAGTGTCGACCGGCATCGGCAGCGTCGATTCGTAAGAGCCAGCACGACGGCATAGCCACGAGAGGCTCCCATGAGTCACCGAGCGCGTTCCACCACTCGCAGAGTGCCTGCTCGCAAACGTCTGAAGAACACGATGTACAGGGTCCGGCTCAAATAAGGAACACTTACTTCTCAAAAGGGGCCCTGTCGTTCTCTTGGTTTGCTTGCGCTCCGCTGCCCTTTCGGAGGCGAGCCCCCCTGGTGTTCCTTCGGACTTCGCAGACTTACTTGGAACAAAAAGGGGCTCCGCTCCTTATTTATCGTTCCTGAGGTCAGGCCGACTACTGCATCATGTATCGTGCATCCCCCATGGCAGATCCGGGCCAGTTGCTTGTAGCTCCTCTGCGAGTAGCGGAGCGCGCTGGTTTGAATTCGGAGCAGGAACAAAAACACACATAAGCACAAAGGGCTTGATTGGCTTTACGCCGGAAAAGGGGCGTCGTTGAGAGGGTGCCTGGCACGGATGCGGGGATCGGGGTGGCGTCGGTGTTTTTTGGCAAGTCATTCGGAATGACCTGCCGCCCACAGGCGAGGCGGGCCGGGCACGCGCTGGCCGCCGGCGCGGCCGTCGAGCGCGGCGCGGGCGCCACAGGCGGGCTCGGGCCGGAGCCCTGCGGCGAGGGGGGCGGCGCGGAGCCGCCGGCCACGACGGACCCCGACGAGGGCGAGGGGGGCGAGATGGCGTCAGGCGATCGCTGTGCACGAACGAGATGGGCACGGAAAGAATGGGTACGATGCCCAACACCAGTTCCTGTTCATTTCGAGCAGGACTCGCTGTCCGCGACGCCGCGGCCTGTGTCCATTTGAGACAGAATTCCGCCTGCCCAACAGCGGCCGCTGTTGGTTCGGGACAACATTTGCTGTTGGGCATTGTGCCCATTGTTTCAGTGCCCATTTCGGGCGTCCAAAATCGCAAACATTCGGTATCGTTTAACTCGAGCGGTGGCGAAGCGTCCCGACTCGCCTGTAGCCCCACCCAACAGTGTTCTAAGAACCTTGTGGTTCCCACGAAATGTTCTCAGGACATTTCTGGCTGGGACTCTCTTGTTTTAGCACATCGTGTTTACGTTCTAAGAACATTGTTTTTGTTCTTAGAGCATTTTTGGGTTCTAAGAGAATTTCGTGGTATGACTGTAGGACTGCCGGGACGGTCGGTCCCTGCTCCATTAACCGATCCCCATCCCCATCCCCATCCCCTTCGAGACCCCCACAAGAATTGCCCCCAAAGTTGGGATGCACCCTTCGAAGCCCGAAGGGGACGGCCTAGATCCCCATCTGGGGGGGTACATCGGCCAGCGGGGCCACGCCGTTGGGGATGGGGATCAGTTAAACGGTACTCAATGGAGTCAGGCGATCGCAAACATGGATCACGGGGGCGTGGATTCGCGACGGGTCCCGTTTCCGTGGGGAGTCCGCGGATTTCCGCCGCCGAGCGAGGCGGCACGCCGGCCGCATTTTGGGGAGGGCGCCTCCCCCGATCCACGGATTTGGCGACCGCGCGCCAGGTCCGTGGATCGCTGATCCATGTTTGCGCACCCCCGAGGCGAGGAGCCGCTGGCCGCGACGGACCACGACCTGGGCGAGGGCGAGCTGGAAGGGGGCTTGAACGACGGCGCCGCTTCGGAGGAGGTGGTCGGCGAGGATGAGGCTCTCGACGAGGGCGATGGCGAGATGGAAGGGGGCTTGGACGACGGCGCCGCTTCGGAGGGAGTGGTCGACGAGGAGGAGGCGCTCGAGGGGGCAGCCGGCGGGTGCCCGGAGGGGGCGGAGCTGCCCCCGAGCGTCCTCCACCTCCTCGAGGAGAGGGAGGAGGGCGAGGAGGAGGCGGGGGGCACGGAGCCGGGCGAGGCCGGTGCACGTGCGCGGCCGCAGCGGGAGCCCCCGCGGTGGCGGCGCGACGTGCCGCTGTGGATGCGGCTGCCGGGCGCGGAGCTGCAGATGATGGGCTAATTTTCCACCACCACGATGAGGAGGTCCTCCTCCTCCTCCTCCTCCTCCTCCTCCTCCTCCTCCTCCTCCTCCTCCTCCTCCCCCTCCTCCTCCTCCCCTCCTCCTCCCCATCCTACACATGGTACTGGTGGTGGCAAATGGGGCCATCAGCAGAGTCTGCCGCGCGAGCTTGAGGATCTGCCAGCGGAGGCGCTGGTGCTGAGCACGGACGGCCGCAACAGGCGTCTCTATCCAGTTGCGCTGCTGCGCACAGCCGCAACAGGCTCGCCAGATGAAGGAAGCAGGCCCTGGGCTGTTCTGCCGCGTTCGAGCTCCTGGGATCTACCTGGGCCCCACAGCACACACACAACACGGCCGCGCTCCTGTCTGTGGCACGGCGCTCCGGCAGTGTACACCTTAGGCGATGCTTAAGAAAACCTAAGTTTTCGGCCAGAGTCTCGATTATTCTTAACGTTTCAATGTGTATCCTAAGATTTTGATAGAAATGATGGGTTTTTATTCAATTTCTGAGACCATGAATTTCTTAACCCATGATTTCTTGACCATTTCGCGTGGTGTACAAAGCTCAATCGGATATCGGTTGGCAGAAGACATGTCAACCTCTAGCCTACGGCTGCGTGCTGTGCATTCGTTTGTGCACGCGCTGAGCCCACGGCAGCTCCGGGCGGCCGCGCTCCCGGAGCGCCGCGCCACTGGCTTGGACTCCTCCCACTCCTGGCTCACGTGCGAGGGCTCATAACTCGGGCGAAGAGAATTATGCACATGCACCGATCCTGGCAAGGCCCATCTTCGACCCAGGATCGGTGCATATGCCTTCCTGGCCAAGGTAGGAGGGCGTATGCACCGATCCTGGGCTCAGGATGGGCCTGGCCAGAATCGGTGCATGTGCATAGTTCTCTTTCCTCTACATAACAACTTGATCCAGGTGTGCTCCGTAGTCTCTCATAAGATCGTGCCTGTCGCTTCCGGAGCGCCTCACTCCGAGGCACAGGTCTCGCCTTGGATAGCACAGTTGCCTTCGAAACTCTGGAATGATAGGAGTGCTCGATCTTTCAGATTACTCGGAGGCACGACGCTCGGAATCTGCTCAGTCTGGTGCGGTCTACCTGAAATATCCAGAGGGATTCTAAATTAAACATAAGCTGTAGGACCACAATCGCGCTAAGTAGGCGCAGCTTCCTGGCTTCGCTCATGTCGTATGGTTCCAACATGGGTTCAGTGCTTTGAAAAGTCCCCTGGCCTCTCCCGGCCGTCTCGTGATCTCCAGCTTGCCTTTGGCTTGGCAATGCAGCAGGCCATCCAAAGCAAATTGTTTGTTGTGTTTTCTTGATCTGCTGCATGAGCGGGTGACGTATGACCCCAGGGCTGCTGATTGCCATGACCACGGTTTCATGCCAATCCAGGCAACGACTCAGGGCAGATGTGGATTGGGGTTAAGTCGGGCATGTCTCTCTACAGGAGGAGTATTCAAGAATAGTAGCAAAATAGTCTAGGGTCGATGATTCGACTATGTTTGACTATTTTGTGGGGTATCTTTTGGGTTTTTTTCCGTTCTTCGCCCAACACCTGCCTGTGGGAGGACGGGCCCGACCTCTGTTTGGGGGGTAGCCGGTGAAGGGCCCAGGGCCAAGCACCCGCTTCCACCGGGGCGTGCGGAACCTGCTCTCGGAGGAGGCCAGCTCCCCGATGGAGCATCCGGGGGAGCATCACGGCACGTGACGATCTCTGTGCGCTGGGGGGCGTCGCTTGGTGCCTAGCATGTCACCACCCACGAGGCCACCCCAGCCCGACCCGAAGGCCTCAGTTCGCCCTCCATTTCCGGTGGGGGGGGAGGGGCGGGGAACATTTGCAAAACACATATGGAACCCGTAACCCCCACCAGCCCGAAATTCGGGTTTTCGGGTTGGATTGGGGTAGTCTGGTAGGTAGTCAGCATGGAGCAGGGCTGGACGTAAAAGCAGCGGGAGCTCGAGCGCATGCGCAAACACACGCACACAAGCACAAACACCAGCCGGCACAGACGCACACACCCACACACGCACGCACGCACGCACGCACGCACGCACCCCCCAGCACACAGAGACAGAGACAGACAGACAGACAGACAGACAGACAGACTGACAGACAAACAGACTGACAGACAGACAGGCAGACAGACAGACATACAGACAGACTGACAGACAGACAGACAGAGACAGACAGACAGGCAGACAGACAGACAGACAGACGCACGCGCGCTCGTACGCACGCTCGCATGCACGCACGCACGCACATACACAAAGACATACACACACACACACTTTCTGTTGGCGGCGAGGCTGAGGTAGCAGCACCATCGAGCAGGCTAAACGGGGGCGCCGTTGCAGCGAGTTGACACACACACACACACACGCACGCACTGGGGCCGCGGAGAGCGCGGTGGCGGACGCGAAGGCCGACGAGATCTTGGCCGAGTTGACTGGGGGGTGCGCCGAGGATGTCGAGTACTTCGATGACGCCGACTGGGGACAGTTCCCGGCGGTCGGGGCCGCCCTCAGGGAGCTGGCCGACGTCGAGGAGTGCTTCTGCCTGGCAGTGTGCCGCCCTCTCGGCGCCTGGGCCGTCGGCGTCGGCATGAGAGGGCAGACGCCCTTGGTCGCTCAGCCGCGTGGAGGGCCAAGGCAGACCCCCCCCCTGTCGCGCGAAGCAAGAAGTAGGAGGAGGGGGAGGAGGAGGAGGAGGAGGAGGAGGAGGAGGAGGAGGAGGAGAAGGAGGAGGAGGAGGAGGAGGTGGAGGAGGAGGAGGAGGAGGAGGAGGAGGAGGAGGAGGAGGAAGGGGGACGAGGGGGGGTCTTCGCCATACGCCGCCGAATCACGAGCGAAGAACATATCAGAGTTGTTGTTGGCAAAGAGGCGTTGCCGGCGGCGGGCTCGTTGCGTATTGTTTCGCAATGTCGGCGCGTCGGTGGGTTTCTCCAAAGTGCTCTCGAGCATCGACGCTTCCCCCCACCGCCCCTCTCATCCGCAACTGCCGGGGGCTATGATGGCCATGCCGCATGCCCATGCCCTTACGGCCTGGGTGCCGAGGCGTGATCCCACGGATGCGCGATCCCACGGATATGCAACCTTTGCTTGCCCATGGACCTTGCGATCCGAGGTTGCGGACCAAAGGACAGCATCGCGAGGATCACAGTTGGAGCCCTATTGAAACCCTCTTTCTGCGTCATGCTTCGAGCCAGATCAACCCACGAGCTGGCGGGCGGAAACGCTTGATTCGGCGACTGCAAGTGGTGTGATTCTGTTGGGGTGTGGTTTGCGATCGGCGCCGCTGGGGCTTAGGGGTCACCACGTCGTGCCAAAGGTTTAACGAGCCCTCGTCGGGGCGCGGCACAGCTGAGATCTCTGTCGAGGTCCTCGCCCGCTCCCCAGGTGCGGGTTGCAAACCACACCCTATGCAAACCGCACCCTCTAGAGCCGCCGACCTGCGTTAAGCTGCAGCGCCCGGATGTTGATGTGCTGGCAACACGCAAGCGGACAGTGATGCATTTGCAAACGCACACGTGGAAGTGTGAACGCTCATGGTGCGCTTCACTCGCGCACCCATGCTTTCACTCTACACCTTAGGCGATGCTTAAGAAAACCTAAGTTTTCGGCCAGAGTCTCGATTATTCTTAACGTTTCAATGTAAATCTTAAGAGTTTAATTGGAATGTTGGGTTATTACTCAAGTTCTGAGACTATGAATTTCTTAAACCATGATTTCTTAAGCATTTCGCGGGGTGTAGGCCTCCTAGATGGGGTCCGAGTAGGTGGGGTCGGAGGGTCGCGCCGCATCGTCGATGCATCGCCGATGCGGCTCGATGTGGGGCCCGATTTGCTTCACGTCGACGTCGACGGTGCATCGCCGACGTCGACGAAGCATCGCGGGTGGATCACCGAAGCAGCACCGATGCATCGCCGATGTACCGGCGATACGGCGCGATCCTCCGACCCCATCTACTCCGACCCCATTTAGGAGGCCTCTATTCACCCAGCCGAACATTCAACTCTCCACCCCTCTTCTCCCCCAGAGCTTCGCGACAGTGCGCGCCAATTGAGACCTCGGGGACCTCCTGGGCCCCCCTCGGGGGGGCGGCTGGGCGACCGCGGGGACAGCACCGCGCGCGCGCGGCCCAGCTGGCGCTGGCGTTGGCTCTGGCCATCCGCATGGAGGACGAGGGTGATGGGCCTGTTTTCCACCACCACGATAAGTTGGAGGGGGGAAGGAGGTGGAGGAGGAGGAGGAGGAGGAGGAGGTGGAGGAGGAGGAGGAGGAGGAGGAGGAGGAGGAGTACTCAGAGGAGGAGGAGGAGCAGGAGAAGGAGGAGCAGGAGAAGGAGGAGCAGGAGAAGGAGGAGGAGGAGGAGGACCCCTCCCCCCCCTTCGTATGGCTGCGGCGGTGGAAAACAAGCCCACCATGGAGGACGAGGGCGCCGGCGAGCCGGAGCTGCCGGGGCTGCTGCGGAGCCTCGTGGCGCGGGCCCGCGAGTCGCGTGCCGCGCTGGGGACGTGATGCCCCCGCGAAAAAGATCGGGAGGACACCGTTCGTCAGCGGAGGAGTCTAGGCCTCCTAGATGTCGCAGGCCTAGAGGTTGACACCAACGCCAATATCGGCGGTGTTCCCCCACCGAGGGAAGAAGATCCCGCTCTCGGTGATCGTGGTAAAACTGTGGTTTCCAAGGTGACCGAAATATTACCACCAACACCGAAGTCTATGGATCATCTTTCCCATGTAGAAGCACCCCCCTGTGCTGGTGTTGGTGCCAATTTCCAGGTCTCCAACCCTCGGAAAAGATCGGGAGGACACCGTTCGTCAGAGGACTGGAGTAGATAGGGTCGGAGGATCGCGCCGCATCGCCGGCGACGTCGGCGTGGAGAAAGTGGGCCCCAAGTCGAGCCGCTTCGCCTTTCCATCGCCGATGCATCGCTTATGTGATCCTCCGACCCCGTCTACGCGGACTCCATCCAGGAGGCCTCTAAGAAAGAGGTGCCGATGCCGCTGCGCGAAGAGGGGCAAACTGCGCAGATAGCACCTTTCGGAGCTGCGCGCGGATTTCGTGGATCGGTGCCTGGGCCCCTTTGGCAGCGCCTCGGGCCCCGCCGCGGGCGCTCTCCGCCCGCCAGGGGAGGGGGGTACAGCGCGGATTCCAGAAGTCCGCACGGAGCCTCGAAAGATTACGCGTATGCAGCTTGGTCTTCCTCTGGCAGCCCTCTTGCCTCGTTTTCGCTTTTTGGGGCCTCCGGGGAGGCCCTCGTCGCCACGGCTGGATTCCCCTCGAAGTCCTGGTCAGGATGCGCCCCAGGAGAGGTCCGGAGTGTGGCGGTGTCGGTATTTTTGTTCTCCCCCCAGCCGCTGCGCCTGAGGACCCGATCCAGCTGCGCAAGTCTCCTCGCCCCGTCGCTCTCTCGTCGTGGTCGCTGTCCTCCCCCTCCCTCTCTCCGGCGTTGTTCCCTGGCCCCCCCCCCCTCTGGAAATGGAGGGCAAGTTGGGGCCTTCGGGTTGGGTTGGGGTGGTTTGGTGGGTGGTGACAAAAGGCTCCCATGGTCTGAATCCTCCGATCGCATCCTCGCCGACCACGTCCTCGGAAGCGGCGCCGTCGTCCGAGCCCCCCTGCAGCTTGCGCTCGCGGCCGTCGGGGAGCGTCGACGCCTGGCTCGTGTATCTGCCACAGCCCAGAAAGCCTGAGACTTCAGCTGTTTCTACACTACTTAGACTTCAGCTGCTTCTACACTATAATACCAGCAAGAACAATAAAACCCATAAAACCAGCAATCGCATTAGTTAATATTTCTGGTGATCGAAAACTCATAAAACCAGCAATCGCATTAGATAAGGCTTCCTAGGAAGCCTTATCTAATGCGATTGCTTCTGCGCCGAATGCGGTCATTGGTAATTCCAGAAAGGTGCCATATACAGTCCACGGTGAAGACCTCGTGGAGAGGAGCCAACCTGGTGACTCCTCATGGGGAGAGGGAACAACGCCGGAGAGAGGGAGAGGGAGGGATGGGCCAGGGAACAACGCCTTCCGCGACGTCGGATCTGCGGGCCCTGGGCTTCGTCACGTGCAGCGCACACCTGCAAGAGCGTGACGGCCGCGAGCGCAAGCTGCAGGGGGGCTCGGACGACGGCGCCGCTTCCGAGGACGTGGTCGGCGAGGATGCGATCGGAGGATTCAGACCATGGGAGCCTTTTGTCACCACCCACCAAACCACCCCAACCCAACCCGAAGGCCCCAACTTGCCCTCCATTTCCAGGGGGGGGGGGGGCCAGGGAACATCGACAAAAACACGTATGGAACCCGTGCCCCCCCCCAACCCGAAGTTCGGGTCTTGGGGTTGGGTTGGGGTGGTCTGGTAGGTTGTCATTTTGGCTCAGGCAGCGGCTCTGGCTCGGAGCCAGCCTGCCGCAGGGGCGCAGAACACCCCGCGCCGCGCCAGGCCTTTGAGCCCCCGCCCGGCAGGCTCGGCCCCGCCGGCGCCGCCTCTGGGCGCCCCCGCGCTCCACGAGGGCGCGAGGCGGGGAGCGGGCCCTGGCAGGAGGCCGGAGACGCCCTCGGCGTCGCGCGGCGCACTCCGGCGCGCCCCGCCTGTGGCCCCCCGTATGGATTCCGGGGCTCTGCCCCCTCCTGGCCTGGACGCGAGGCCCTTGCTTCTGCCCCCCCCGCGTTAAGAATTCCAGCCGTGCGCGGCCCGCTCAGCTTCGACCGGGGGGGGGGTGCGCTCTCGACCCGCGATATCAAAACAGAGGCCCCCCGGAGCCTGCCTCGCTCTCTCCGCGCCTCCGTCGGCTCGCCCCTCGAGGTGGCGGGGAGCGCCCGCCTCGGAGCCGGCCGGGGCCCCGAGGCGGCCCGGCACCGGTTCGGCGCCTCCTTTGCGCGGCGCCGGCCTTGAACGCGCAGTTTTTGCGGCGCCGACCGTGTGGGCAGGGTGTCCCGCTGCAGGGGTCGTTCGGCCGTCCGCGCCAGGGCGCCCAACGCCAAAGAAAATGCGCTGGCACGCAAACGCCTCAAATTTTTGGTCACCCCTGCGCCCGGTTCGGGCGAGCAGGACGGGAAGGCGAGCGAGGTTTAAAGCAGGCATGTCCCTCTACAGGGGCTTGGCATCGCTCGGGCTTGTGATTTTGTTTTTGGGCGAGGACCATCGAAGAGCATTGTGGGTCACCTTACGAAAAAATACACGCACGACATCGAAAAATGCACAGGGAATGGACGTCCGAGCGATGGCGAGGGGGGAATCTTCCAAACTAGTCAGGGGACGATTTTTTGCGTATCGTCTTGCATTTTTTTTAATATCTGTTGCGGACGTAGTGTTTTTCTTCAACGTCCGCCTCAAGGGGGGCATGCCCGACCCAAAGCGAGGTGCGAGGCTCTGGTTCTGGAAGGTTTTTGCTTGTCTTCTTCGGCCCAGGGGGCAGCTTTCGGGCTTCGGGACCGTCGAGCACGGATCTGGGGCGAAAAGCTGCACCAGAGGGACTCCAGGAATTGATTTCGAGCTGAGTTGGCTCCATCCCCCCTCTTGGCTGGTTTCCTGGGTCCCAACCCGTTCAGGCCCCCTGGCCGCAGCCAACACCTGTTGTCTGGTTAGGGGGCCGCATGCGAACCTTACCCCTACCCCCTGCGACTTCTGAAGGGGAACGGTGGGGTTCACTTCGTCTGGGAGCTCCCGGGCGAAGTGAACCCCCACCCTCCATCTCAGAAATCGTGGGGGGTAGGGGTGGGGTTCGCATGTTACCCCCTGCCGGTGCAGCAGGGCTGGACCTAAACGGTGTGTTGGCGAATTCGTGGGCCGTTTTCGTTTCGACTTCGCTTTGCGGTACAGGCGACTCGAAGACAGAACGAGGGAGCACGAAAACAACACGAAAACGAACAGCACCGCTTAGGTTCAGCCCTGCGGTGCAACACACCTTAGGCGATGCTTAAGAAAACTTAAATTTTCGGCCAGGGTCTCGATTATTCTTAATGTTTCAACGTAAATCCTAAGATTTTAATAGACATTCTGGGTTTTTAGTTAAGTTCTGAGACTATGAATTTCTTAACCCATGATTTCTTAAGCACTTCGCAGGGTGTAGCTCCCGAATCGGCTCTCCGCGCTGCCCCTCCGCGCTCCCCCCTCCCTCCTGCTTGGCCGCCGTGCCTGCGGGCGAGGCGCCGAAGGTGAGGACCACGTCGGGCTCGGGAGGGGCTCTGGTTGGCTTCCGGGCCGCTCCCCAGACGTCGGGCCTAGGTTTACGTCGGGCCTGTCCCTCCACAGGGGGATTTTCGGCGAAAAATGAAAACTGGAATATATATATATATATATATAATATATATATATATACATGTATATATATATATATATATATATATATGAAAATAGTAAAAAAATAGTCTGGGGACTATTTTTTGGTTATTGTTGTGATTTTTTGGGGTACTACTTTGGGGTATCCTTTTTTTTCATTTTTTGACTTTATATTTTTCGTCGAAAATCCACCTGTAGGGGGACAGGCCCGACTTAAGCCTAGGTTTAAGTCGGGCATGTCCCTCCACATGAGGAGCGTCCAAACATAGCAAAGAGATAGCCTGGGGACGATTTTCCAGTGTTTACTTATGATTTTTGACTGTGTCTGAATCTTTGTTGATGTTCTGTATTGGTTCCGAAGTTCCTCTGTAGGAGGACATGCTCGACCCAAGCCAAGGTCGGGGGCCTTGTTCGTGGCCGAGGCACGCCGTGGCCAGAAAAGGCCCTTCGTTCTCTATCCCAGCTTATTTTTGGTGGTAGCGCGATGGCTATGTTTGCTCTCCGGTGGAGTCCCCTTTCTTTCAGTCGGGCATGTCCCTCCACAGGAGGAGTACTCAAGAGTAGTCCAAAACAGTCAGGGGACGGTGTGTTGGCTGTTTTTGACTATTTTTGAGATCTGTTCTTACTTTTTCGGATTTTTCCTCCAAAAGCCGCCTGTAGGAGGACATGCCCGACCAAACTCGGTCTCTCCGTGGGGAGGCTTGCAACGGCGGGCGGCATCGATGGGTGGGAGGCGGCCGGAGGGGGGAGGACGGGGGTCGCTTGGGCGTGGCGTAATGGGGGGGGGCATACATGGGGGGTGGCTACATAATACAGAGAAGTTCGGCTGTTTTGAGAGTCTGGAGATTTCTCACGAAAAATCAGATTTGAGAGTCTGATTTCTGATGCGATTTTTTCTTAATCATAAGTTGGACTGTAGGGTGGTCCGCAAAGGCACCGAAACGGTACCTGAACGGGCCCCCTGGGGCTCCGAAGGGGGCCCGGAAGGGGCACGAGGGGGGACCGTTTCTGAACTTCAAGGAAGGAAAACCACCCGGACCGGACAATTGGCGTTTACTTAACGGCCCTGGGCGTTTACCAAACAGCCCTGCCCTGTTTGATTCCTTCTTTGCGCGCGTTTACTAAAGGCCTCGCGTGTCGGGGTGGTTATTATCGGGGTGGATTTTCTGCCCTCTATGAACGCCCCCCTCCCCCATGAAGCCACGCCCAGGTCGTGGCAGGGGGTCTCGGGAGCTCGGTCCTGGCCGGTGCGGCTGCGCCGGACAGTTGCCGTCACACCGCCTGTTGGGAGTGCCTGGGGCTGCGCGCGATGGTCAGGAGAGAAAAAAACACACAGACACAATTAATCCTCGATTCCCCAGAAAATATGGGAAAATATGAGAAGTGGGGGGGAAGACAGAAATCCAGAAAATATGGGAAAATATGGGGAATATTTTTATTTGTGTGTATTTATTTGTGCGTCCTGGGGCGCCTTCAGATGGGTCTGGCACGAGCGTGTCGGGTTGACCCCCAAGGGGGTCCAGCGACGAAGAGGCGGTGCAAAAGAGTTGGTGCAGTGCATTTGTGGGGTTGCGACGCACTTGGGGGCGTGCGACACACTCTGTGGCGCAGATGCGTCGCTGGATTTTCCGCGTGCAGCGCATTCGTTGCAACACAGCGCAACGCAACTCTCCGGCGCAACACATGTGCAAGACAGCCGCAACAAATCACTAGCACCAGCCCCTTGCAGCTGGCCCCCCTTCTGGGTCCCCCAAAGGGTGGCCTGGCGTCGAACATCTTGGGGCGACGAGGTCTATGTATATCCACTGCTCCTGGCCAGGCCCATCCTGGGCCCAGGAGCGGTGTATATGCCTCCCTGGCCAAGCCAGGAGGGCGTATACACAGCTCTTGGGCCCAGGATTGGCCTGGCCGGGAGCAGTGGATATGTATAGATATCGTCGCCCTACATCTGGAGGGCGAGTCGAGACAAAGGGAGCTGACCTTCCCAGGGGGGCCTCGTCGCCACAGATTGGGCGCAGTGCGGGAAGCTTGCGCGTTTGGACCCCCAGGAAGGGGTCGCGGACACACTTGAGCTGCCGTTGTCTCAACACTCGCCCTGCTCCGAGAATCCAGGGAGGAGGAGGAGGAGGAGGAGGAGGAGGAGGAGGAGGAGGAGGAGGAGGAGGAGGAGGAGGAGGAGGAGGAGTTCGACCGCCATCATGGAGGTACCATCTCCTCCCTTGTGAGAAGCCTTCTTCTGCATTCTGGATGTTTCGTGCGCTGTTTGGGATCTTGGGGCGCCGACCGGGAGGGAAGAAGAGGGGGGGCTTACGTACCAAGGATGACGAGGAGACGAAGCAGGATGAGCAAGATGAGTGGGGGCTGACGAGGAATAGGAGGGTGGGGAGGCGAGAGTGGAGGAAGAGGAGGAGGAGGAGGAGGAGGAGGAGGAGGAGGAGGAGGGGGAGGAGGAGGAGGGGGAGGAGGAGGAGCAAGGGGGGAGGAGGAAGATGAGGAGGAAGAGGAGTCAGAGGATGGGCAGAGTGAGGAGAATGACAGGCACGAAGATTGGCGGATGAGGAGGCGGATGCGGACGAGCAGGAGGAGAGTGAGAACGAGGTAGGATGAGTTGGAGGTGCAGGCGGGATGGGGAAGGAGGGACGCATGAACATAGGGGGGAAGGAGGATGACAAGGGAGTAGGAGGAAGGAGGAGGCGGGGGAGGAGGAGGAGGAGGAGGAGGAGGAGGAGGAGGAGGAGGAGGAGGAGGAGGAGGAGAAGCATTAGCAGCATCAACGGCTAGAAACGCAAGGATGATGAGGAGGATGATGATGAGGAGGAGGAGGTGGAGGAGGCCTCGTCGCCCCCGCTAGGTTTGTTTCTCCCCGACGCGCTGATGGCGGCAGTCAGTGGGCAAGCGTCCGCCGCCCCCACTCAGGCAACCACGCATTTCAACGACCCCAAGGTGCTCGCCGAGATCTCCGAGAACATCGGCGGGCTGGGGCGGGGCCTTTGTTTCCAATTCCGCAGCTTGTTTTTGGTGGGGTTCAGGCAGTTCGTGGGGGACTCACACAGGGACGTTACGGCCCCAGCGTCTCCCCCCCTATCTTGATATCCTGGACGCGCGGGCACGAGGCCTCGGCCCGCACGGAGGCGGGCGAGAGAGAGGGGTCGCCAGCATCCTCCTCCGCCTCCGCCTCCTTCTCCTCCTCCCCTCCTCCTCCTCCTCCTCCTCCTCCTCCTCCTCCTCCTCCTCCTCCTCCTCCTCCTCCTCCAGGGATGTCAGGGTCCCAGCGTCTCTCCCCCCCATCTTCATCTCCTGGACGCCGCTCTGCGGACAGGTCGCCAGTTCGCCCTGCGAGAGGAGGAGGAGGAGGAGGAGGAGGAGGAGGAGGAGGAGGAGGAGGAGGAGGAGGAGGAGGAGGAGGAGGAGGGCCTTCCTCTGCGCCTCCCGGGCGCGCTCCTCCTCCGTGCGGCCGGGTGCCTGGCCGGGGCATGGCCTGGAGGGCTCGAGCTGGGCCCGCCCCCCGTGGCAGGGCCTGGGCCGGCGCGTGGGGCCGTTGGCCCTGGACCGTCGAATTCCCTCGAGGTGCCCTCCCTCGAATTGCCCCCGAGTGCCCCCGAGTGCCCCCGCCCTCGAGTGCCCTCGAGTGCCCCCGCCCTCGAGTGCCGTCGAATTCCCTCGAGCTGCCTTCCCTCGAATGGCCCGTACTCGAATTGCCCTCGAGCGCCCCCACACCCTCCAGGGATTCCTGGGGCTTCCTAGGGATGGCTGAGGGTTCCCAGGGATGCCCGGGAATTCCTGGGGATTCCTAGGGAGCCACAAGGAGTCCCAGGGATTCCTAAGAATTCCGTTGGATTCCCAAGGATTCCGAGGGATTATCTGGCTCGTCTTGAGTTTATATATATATATATATATATGTTTTTTTGTTCTGGAATCCAGGACCCCCCGGGGGGGGGAATGGCATGCTGAGCCGGGACTTTTAACTCCTGTGCCTCCTCGTTCTGTCAGGCGATGGCAAACATGGAGCAAGGGGGCGTGGATGAGCGACGGGTCCTGTTTCCATGGGAACTCGCAGATTCCCGCCGCCGAGCGAGGCAGCACCGGCCGCATTTTGGGGAGGGCACCTCCCCCGATCCATAGATTTGGCGACCGCGCGCCAAATCCATGGATCGCTATCTCGGCGAGGACCATCGAGGAGCATCTAGGATCGTCTTGCGAAACAAACGCGCACGAAACGAACTATGCACGGGGAATGGACGTCCGAGCGATGGCAGGTCTTACCTCTCTCATCCTGGAGTCGCGTGGCGGTGCTACTTATGCGGCTTCGGTGCCGTAGATGGGGCAGTTGCGCTCCTCCCTGGGTGTGCTTCCCGAACGGCTTTCTGGATGAACATAATTGTCCAAAGCAGTTCTCTCCCTCTCTTCTGCCCTCCCCCCCATACTCCCCCTTCCCCCTCTCCCTGCTGTTACCGAGGCCCTCCCGCCCCACTGCTAGACCTGGGAGTGGGCAGGGGACGCCATGACGGGGATCAACTGCGACGACCTCGCGGTGCGCTGGGTCCTCGACATGTCACCCACGCTGTGCTGCTCCACATGCACCCTCCCTCAGTTCCTCCTCCCCATGCCCCCCCTTCCTCCTCTTCTCCTCTTCTCTCCTCTTCCTGTTTCTTCCTCATCCTCGGTCTTCCTCCTTCTCCTCCTGCTTCCTCCTCCTCCTCCTCCTCCTCCTCCCAACCCAACCTCCTCCTCCTCCTCGCCTCCTCTCCGCCTCCCTCCTCCTCCTCCTCCTCCCCCTCTCCTCCTCTTCCTCCTCCTCTTCCTCCTCCTTCTCCTTCGCCTCCTCTCTCTCTGTCTCTCTCTCTCTCTGTTAGTTTTTTTTGTTTTTGTTTGTCTCTCTCTCTCTCCCTCTCCCCTTCCCTCTGGCTCGTACAATAGGATGCTGACCCGCAGTGTCCACGATCTTCTCCTCCTCCTCCTCGGCGTCGTCCTCCTCCTTGTCCCTCCCCGCCTGCTCTCCATCCCAGACCTCCCCTCCCTTGCTGCCCCTTCCCTCCCCCCCTCCTCCCCCTCCCCCCTCCCTCCCCCTCCCGGCCCCCTCCTCCTGGCCCCCCCCCCTATCCTTCTTCCCGAGGTGCGCTGGGCGGACCGCGAGGGCGGGAACATGGAGCCGGCCGCCAAGAAGGCACGAACCAGGAGGGCCGCCCGGGGGTTTGTGGCGGGCGGGCGTGGGGCGGCAGCGCCCGGCTCTCTCTGCCGGCCCCCCCGCCCCGCCGAGCCCCTTGCAGCCCCCCCTCTGGCCGCTGGCGACTCGGGCGGCCTCGCTCCAGAGGTCTTTCGGCATGGTCGGCCGCCTCGTCCGCGGGCGGCCTGTCTGCGCCGTGCCGCCTGGCTGTGGGTGGCGCGGGTTTTGAGCGGTGCGCCTGTTGCTTGCCATGGCGGCTTGCGTTCAAGATGAGGATGAGGATGATGGTGCTGCTGCTGATGAGGATGATGATGATGCCGAGGATGATGATTCTGAGGATGATGGTGACGACTACAAATGCCGGTTTGTGATGGTACAGGTGATCATGATTGGGGGTTGGCGATGATGATGGTGGTGATGGTGGTTGTGATGATAGTGATGATGATTAGGATGATGATGCTGATGATGGTGTTGTTGATGATGATGATGATGATGATGATGATGATGATGCTGGCGATGCTGGTGGTGACAGCGCTGATGATGCTGGTGATGATGATTCCGATGACGATGTTGATGATGATGATGACGATGACGATGGTAACGAAGGTAATGATGGTAATGATGCTGATGGTGATGCTGATGGTATTGATGCTTTGCTGCTGATGCTGATGCTGATGATGATGCCACTGATAATGACTATGATGTTGATGATGATGATGATGATGATGATGATGATGATGATGATGATGATGGTGGTGGTGGTGACGTTGATGCTGCTGCTGATGATGATGATGCTGATGGTTCTGATGATGCTGCTGCTGATCATGATTATGATGGTGATGCTTCTACTGATGCTGCTGATGATGATGACGATGCTGCTGCTGCTGCTGCTGCTGCTGCTGCTGCTGCTGCTGCTGCTGCTGATGATTATGATGCTGATTATGACGATTGTAATACTTCTGATTAGTGGTACGGTTTGGATATCGTGCACCATCGAGCATCCATTGGTTCGATGGTTGGAAAAAGCTCGCGCTACCGACAGCCGACCCGCGACCCAGGAATGGTACGGTGCATATTTCTGCCGCCGTTCAGGGCCGACAATCTATGCACCGTACCGGGTTGAAGTGGGGCTTGAGGGGAGTCTAAGCGTGGCCCTGTGCATGGGCGCTTTTCGCGTGTCCTGAGGGGTCGTTCCTGGGCCCGGGTGCCATGGATCGGCGACCCAGATTAGAACAGGTGTTCCCTGGGAGGGTGTCGAGGGTGATCGGGGGAGCTGTATGTCACAGCTGCCTGCGGCAAGTCGCGCCACCGTGCCAGCCCAGCACCTCGGGTGGCGACTGCTCGGGGGGCGCGCGAGCGGCCAGGACGTGTCGTACGTCGTGGCCCGAGGCTCGGGAGAGACGTGGGAGGGTGACACACTCTCCCGCGTGGAGTCGGGGTGTTCTCATCGTTTTTGTCGTCTTTCCATTTTTGTGGCGTCTTTTCTGGAACCCAAGGGTCGGGGGCGGAAAAGAGGGGGGTGATGACTAGGGGGGGTGGATATCATGGCGTGGGCCATGATTTTTCCCCAGATTTCATGGCGCCTCTTCTTATTTCATTACGTCCCTGGTCCCCCCGCTGGGCCGCGCACATGCCGCCGGTCATGATTTGCACCCCCCCTCTTGGACACCCCTCTCTTGGCCGCTCCCGAAAGGGAGTTCTTAGGCTTCTCAAGATCTTGTACAAAGCTATTCCAGGACAGGGCAGGTGATTGTTGCAGGACTGGCCAAGAGCATGATTCTGCTCCCTTCTGTCAGCTATGCATCGGCTTGCACGCTAGTTCCTTACAACAGCGGTGCGAACCCCGGTTTTCACCAGTATGGGTGAGGCTACAAGTGCCAAGGATCACCGGTAACACCCACTCTCGTCTCATCCAGTGTGTTTGTAGTCCTCCAGTCGCATCTTCGATTTTGACGAGGACCTCTCGAATTTTCAGGGCAACCCTGGTCCTTCTGGACATAGGCATGTTCCTGAACCGCCCATGCCCTCCGACTATAATGATGGTCGCTTGTCGGCAGTCTTACGAGGAGAGATAGAGGACAGCGACATCGGGACTATGATGTTCGAAGATTAGTGCGATGAACTACGTAAAGACATTGGCCGAGTCATTCTCGGTGACGACGATGTCTAACGCAACCCCACCGCTATAATCCCTGATCAGCTTGCGTTGACGCTAGCGATGAATGGCGACAGTGATTTTCGGAGAGACCTGCGTGGGCAAATGCACGGGAAGGAGATTTTAGGCTGCGCGGCATACTTCGTCCCTTTTTTTCTCAGCCGTTCATGGCAAAAATGGCCATCTGGACAGAGACGAACATGGGAAGTTCGTTGAACTGTGCTCTGCGGCCGATATGGCGGAATACATCCTCGCTTGTGAACAGAGGGGGGACGTCGCCACCATGCTTGCCTATGCACCGGCCGCAGCAAGACGCGCAGTAGTTGTCAAAGGATGCGGCTTACCTGCGCAGACATCGCGCATAACCCAGAGAAGGTTCGAGACGGTGAACGAGGCGCCTCTCACATAACTCGAGCTATGGATCGACCCAGCAGTGTTTTGAATTGTACGGTTTCTCGAACACCACCAGTGTCATGAAGGGCGCAGCACGTTCGCGAGTGGACACGTGTTAAATGCGAGCGTGGCAAGCCAGGGCGAACCACCCACTTGAGACGCTCTGTGGACGTCTCGGCGCTTGACATCCATTTTCGTTTGGCGCCGCCCGCCTTCAACGTCGACGACCTGCTCGCTCGCGAGGCAGCCTGCCATCCGGGATGGGCCCCGGCGTCCATGGACGTCAGCAGGGCTGGACCCAAACGGTGTTTTGGCGATTTCGTGGGCCGTTTTTGTTTTGATTTAGTTTTGCGCTAGAGGTGGATTGAAACAAAGGTGAGGGAAAACGAAACACAAAACCAAAATGAAAAACACCGTTTAGGTTCAGCCCTGGACGTCAGGGAGGCATTTCCCAGAGGATTGTGGCGACAACAGGCGAGACAACTCGCCAGGTATGCTGTGCGCACCCACCAGAAGACGCTCAAGTGTTGCGCGCCCTGCCAGGTTTCTCCAAGCGCGACTAGGGTCGACGCTGCTTTCAATCTTTGAATTCCCGTACACCTGCGAAGGACGCCTCAACGGGCGTCGAGCGTTCTCGCTCAAGCTGCGCAGCGGAACGCGAGCCATAGGCCCTGAAGTTCAAGAGCCTCGACCCCGAATTGGAGTTTGGTCTTTTTCCAACCGCGGCCAATCACGTGGATAACATCAAGATGACGGGAGTCGGAAGGAATATTGATGATTATGTTCGGCGGGCCGAACAGGTACTTGACGAATGTCATCTCAATCCACTATACCTTCACAACTTGCGTCACCCGCTATTTGAGCGACAATGGGGATGTGGTAATGGATCAAGACGAAGATATCTAGCACCTCAGACCCATGGCGCACCCTCGAGAGACTGGTGCACCTGCGGGAGCAAACGACAATTTTCTCCGACACGATGGTTTACGTGGTGTCTCCGCAGAGAACCCAAGGGCCCGCGGACATCCTAGTGCGTCGTTTGAACGCTGCGGCGGGGGAACTCATCTGCGATCCGACGTAGAGAAGGTTCCCTCGCATGTGCCCAACGGTCGAAATAGTCATCAACAGCGACTCTGGGCACTGCAAACTGGATGGCGGCGAAAACGGCGAGACGAAAGGCCGCGGCATCCGAGCGGCAAATGTGATTTGGCATGGGAACTCGCCCGGCAGTCCCCTCGTTCACCTGTGCGACGGCATTAGCAAACCACATCGACTTCAGCTTAGTTCTAGATGCGCAGCAGAAGCTTGTGCAGCCAATGAGCTGGGCGCGACAGATCCCGCAATTATCGCGCCGCGCGGGCTACAGGGCTGCTCACACTGCCCAGAAGGCACTGCGTGTTGGAGGGGGAATAGGTGGGTGGGCCATTGGGGTTCTGAACCATCAATGCGGAATCGGCATGCAAGGGGGACTTAGTTTTCCGACCGAACGTATTCTGGTTGGCCACGTTAATTGGATACGTGAGTTTATCCGTAAGGGCTTCGCCCCCTGCCGCCGGCCCCCTCTCTCGGAGAATGGGCCATGGAAGAGCTAAGTCATGAGGCCTTGGCGCTGTCGTGAAGCAGTATCGAAACTTCATGCGAAGCCGAGTCGCAATCAGCAAAACCAACTGATCACAAGAGGGGTTACCACACCTGGCGATTGGTAAGACGTGTATGGTTTAAGGGCTTGGTTACCACACCTTGCGATTAAAGGGCCGAGGGAGTTCTCGCAGTTTGGGTTACCACGCCTTGCGATGGATGTGCGTGATGGGTTCGAATTTCAGAAATGTGGCAAATCCCTTGTGTTTTTGGACCCTGACCCCGCGGATCTGCGTGAGGGGTGGCACCGAATTTCAGAAATGTGGCAAATCCCCTGTGTTTTTGGACCCTGACCCCGCGGATCTGCGTGAGGGGTGGCACCGAATTTCAGAAATGTGGCAAATCCCCAGTGTTTTTGGACCCTGACCCCGCGGATCTGCGTGAGGGGTGGCACCGAATTTCAGAAATGTGGCAAATCCCCTGTGTTTTTGGACCCTGACCCCGCGGATCTGCGTGAGGGGTGGCACCGAATTTCAGAAATGTGGCAAATCCTTTGTGTTTTTGGACCCTGACCCCGCGGATCTGCGTGAGGGGTGGCACCGAATTTCAGAAATGTGGCAAATCCCCGGTGTTTTTGGACCCTGACCCCGCGGATCTGCGTGAGGGGTGGCACCGAATTTCAGAAATGTGGCAAATCCCATGTGTTTTTGGACCCTGACCCCGCGGATCTGCGTGAGGGGTGGCACCGAATTTCAGAAATGTGGCAAATCCCATGTGTTTTTGGACCCTGACCCCGCGGATCTGCGTGAGGGGTGTCGATTTCGAGCCCCCCCAGCAATTCAGACAACGCGCCCAGGGGGTGCTAAAAAATCCTGTTTGGGCCTC